GACGCCACTGGTGACCCTGGTGATGTCACACGTGACATCATATGTGACATCATCACGGGAAACGTCCCATAATGTACTGCGCGGTTACGCCGACGGCGACGGCGACGCCGCTCAATGCTGGAAACGGGTGCCTAAGAGCTGCGCTCTGAAAGAAGAAGATATCTGACCGCCGAATTCACAAACCTCACTTCAATTGAGGGGCCCTCCACTTCCTCGAGCAACGCCGGAACGCACGAAGGCCACCGGCGGCCCTCGCGCCTTCCTCGAAGAAGTAGAGGGGCCCCTCAATTGGAGTGATGTTCGTGAATTGGGCGGAGTAACTCGACCGATCCTTCAGTAACTGGAGAGGGTCGAGCCGGTTTGATCGCGCTAGATCTAGTCTGAGCGACATTCTGCGAACGAGCGATCGCCGTTTTGTTTGATCTTTCTTAGAATCAAATGGTTGTCATCAGAACTGTTTGCGAGGCTGAAGTGATCAGTTGAGACACTAACCTAAGCGGTAAAAAATGGCGACCAACAATACCCTTTTCAAATAAAATTTAAAAAAAGAAGAAATCACACCGTAGTTGGGACACTAACCTAAACTGCGGTGTGAAACTAACACGGTGAACCAAACGCTCGTGGCCACTGATTTCTATTTTAGTAGGCTGGATCGCGGATCGGGAGCCCGTCGGTCTCGCCACCGGCGGCCATTGCTTGACACCAGGCAATACACGCACGTCTATGGGAGAAACGCACAAACGTAAGAATATTGAAGCGCGTACGCTGTGGCTCGGAGGCGAGTATTTCATGGTGCGCTGCGATCCTTATGTCGGGTGTTTGGAGAACTAATCGGCATTTGTCAAACGTTTGGTCGCCGAATAAAAAAAAATCAAACGTACCGGAGCACCTACGGCTGAGCTGGAAAGCTTGCACTCGTAGTAGAGTAAACAAAGGAACTTGCCGTCAATGAAACCGTACTCGGGGAAGCCCAGAAGTTGATGAATGACAAAGAAATTCCATCTTGACAACGGCTTTCCTCGAGTGAGCGAATTCCGCGTAGCAAAACATTCGAGCTTGTCGTCTGCTAAACCCAACTCAATGAAACCGCTATCGACTCCGCGGTAACTCTAAGTAACTCTCGCCTCACTGAGCTGCATTACAGCGGAGTCACTCTCGACCACAAAATATTTATTTATAAAAACAGCGAGGGCTGCCAGTTTTAATGTTTGTACGCAAGCTATTTGACGGGCTTATCGAAAAGCAGCCAAAAAGTTTCAGTGCCGAGAACAGCTTAGAAACGGGGGAAATGGCACTTTTTCTCGTTCTTCCCATAGAGTCCCATGCATTGGCTGGCGTCAATCAATGGCCGCCGGTGGTGACCCTCGGCCCCAGCTGCCGAGGCCGCGGTCCGCGATCCAGCCTATTACAATAGAGATCAGTGCTCGTGGCACATAAAACGCGAACTACGTTACGGACAAGCTATATATGTATAGGCCATAGGGTGCACAGTCCTCAGATTTTACTACCAGGCGAGATTGTCACGCGCTGACGCCACCAAGCAGCAACGCTCGCAACTACAGTAGTCTTGGCCGTGCAGGAGCCATTGGCGTCACAAGCGCGGTACGCGCACTGCGCTCCTCGCTGGCCGATTTTGAAGCGAGAAGCAGAGAGCTCGCCGCCGCGTCATTTTGTTTTCGTGCCCCTTTGACATGGTGGCCACTCATTCTATAGATACTTTACACACGCGCAAATTACAGCCGCCATTGCCGACCTTCTCTTGTCTTACCGAGATGCCGAGCTACTAAAGCGGGCGTTGACAAGCCTCCAGAAAGGCCAATGTTGTGGAGAAGGACACTGTGGAAACTAAAATGGCAATAACTTGCCCCGCTATGGTAACTATTAGGTGAAGTAAATGTAATAAGAGGAAACAAGAACTGAAGGTCGGTTATGGCGGCGCCCATGCACAGCTGCTGCAAAGCTTCTATAGGGAGTAGTTCCTGACGGCCATAGATGTGTGCGCGAATGCTGAGCGCGTGCTGATGGCGAGCTTTCGCAATTCTTTTGCAACGTGTGGTGTATTCCGCACCATCAAAAGTGCCGGTCATAGCAGCCTATTGATGTGAGCTCGTTCTGAGCATGCGCTCTAAACAGCACCCACAAATATGGCGTCTGGTGAATAAGGTAGGGCGAGGGAAAGGAAGGTTGGGGAGGAGGAAGCCGACGGAACGCTGGAGAGGAAAGGGGAAAACCTCTTCCTCCCTCCAGCGTTCCGTCTGCTTCCCCCTCTCCAGGCCTTACTTCCCCTCGCTCTACATTTTTGAGTTGCAACGAACACTGTAGTTGCAACGCACCATTGGCGACGTGCGCGATCAAAAGCGTCGCTGCGGTCGGCCTTTCACTATGGGCCGAATGGTGGCTATGACGTCAGTAAAGGTTTTCTCGTCGACAGAAATAAGAGTAATGCAAGAGCTTCAATTTTGACGGTATTGGCAGTGTTGGTTTCAGAGCGCAATGATCTCAAGCTTCCACCATGCTAATTATAAACACCGTCGAACTTGTTGTTCGTAAGGTAATGACGTCACGAGAGGAAACCATAGGAGGGCGCTTCCAAAACATGGGGGGGGGGGGGGGGGGGGGGGGGTAAAGACGGGAGCAGAACGCGGCAGATTGCAAGCGCTGAACTCGGTGATCTTGAAAGAAAGAACGAAAATGAGAGCGACGGAAAAACGGAGATAGAAAGCAGACGGTAGGTACAAAAGATCGAGAAGAAATGCCCGACGGTTTCTAAATCTAAACCAAGGATGTTCCACGTAGTGGCACAATTTCAGGGCAATTTGACCCGCAATGTTTACATTTTTTTATATATAAATACGTCAGTGTGTTCCTGCTAAGCTAGAAAAAAACGCATAGTACAGACCTTTTAGGTGATTTTTTGCTGCTTCTTTGTGTATAAAGGGTTAAAGAAAATTTTATTGACACTGTAAACTGCAAGACGTAAGTCACGCCGGTATACAATAGGGGTATTCACTGGACACCATATTTGAGGGCGATGCTTAGAGCGCATGCTCAGAATAAGCTTACATTAATAAGCTGCCAAGACTGTCAATTTCGAAGCTGCGTAACGCACGTGGCGAGACCTTATGAAAGCTCGCCGTCAGCACGCGCTCAGCACTCGCGTACGCAGCTATGGCTGCCATTGAATACTCCCTATTCACCACATTCGGTGGGAGTTGATACCACGAGGGCGCCACAGTATTTGGTGCCCCAGTAGACTTCCGGTAGTGTATTTATTTATTCTTCAGCAACGCACAGCGGTCGTGTAAGAACAGTTTCCTTCAGAGAAGTTTCTCTAGTAGGTTTGTAAGAACATTAGTACATTCTAGAAAGTAGTGCAAATAACAAAAGGAGGAGAGACAAATGGAAAGAAGAGGAAAACCGGAAGCGCGCAGGGGTCCGCCGATAGGGGGTGGTAGTGAGCTTGTTTGCAAACAAACATCGGTGAATATCAAGGCGTCGCTAGCAATATGGGTCAATCGGGACATGATCGAGGGCACCGATGTCCGCGTGTATGTCCCGCCGTCTTGAAACAGCCGAAACGCATGGGGCCTTTTCCTCTATGGACGATTATATCACCTCTATGGCGTCACGCAGCCATCGGCTCTATTCGGCTATGAATAGTCTAGCCGCGAATGGCTTGCGCACGCCACCAGCCAAACGAGTGTCGCCTGCGTCAGTGGTGCCAGACTAACCGACAGACGCTATTGCTCTTATGCGTTCTCCGGGAGTTTCACGTCTCATTTGGCTTGTGGCTCGGACACTCGCGGCTAGTCGCCTCCGTTAGGGAACGTTAGGGAGAACGACCGTTGGACAGAGACACTTCTTATATGGCAGCAGGTTCCGATATCCGCAGGTATACTTAGCTCCACCGAGGCAATTCGAGCACAATTAAGGTGCGTGCGTTATACGACCAAGTTGGGAAGGCACTTAAGGTGTACCGGCCGTGGGCCCGGACGGTCTTTTACGGCACTGCGAACGTGATGTAGCTCGCTTAGTCATGAGCCATAAAGCGGTGAAAACCGGAAGCAGTGTTTTCTTTTAGTTCATTCGCCCCCTTGAAATTTGTGCGTCCTTTAGTCTGACCGAGTTACGCGATAGTTCTATGTCTGGCATGCATTGATGGTCCGGCGTTAAGTACTGCTTTCTTTTTTTTTTCCTTTTTTGGGCCGGCCCGGGGGAAGTGGAGGGGGGGGGGGGGGGGTTGTTTAAAGGAAAAAAGGCAATGAGGGATTTTTTTTTTTTTTTTTGCGACGTTCGAAAGTGGAGTGTTCCTAATAAGCAGCGTAGCGAAGTCATTTGTATATGTAAATTTGGAAGCCAAGCCCCTCCTCAAACTCTTGAGACAGATTTATAACTATTCGAATAGATAATATAATATCGCACGCCCGCTCACTAAAACGCTGCTTTGTCGGCTTTTTTTTAATGCATATTTGAATAACAGCGAACACTTGTCGTGAGCACGACCTAGAACCCAGTCAAACAATTGGCAATTGAACTTAAATATATTTATCAAACTCTTATGTGCAGAACTGCGTTTTACGGGGAAGGCAGCGGACGCTAACTTAATTCCGTCTCAGCCTTCCAGGCACGCGACGCCGTATCTAGCGTTGTCATGTCCTCCCTTTATACGGGTTTTTTCTTTTTTTACTGTTGGGCTTTTAACGTTTTTTCAGCAAGCAGAGTCTTCTCGAAGCGTCTCGGAGTCCTCTCTCCTGCCTCTTCTGTTATTTTATTTTTTCTCTGTTGTTGTTTTCTTTCACAGCTGCGTTGTTTGGTCTGCGGAGCTCGTCGCGGCTAAACCGGAGTTAGCTACAACAAAAATGCAATTCCGCGTTAAAAGTAAAAGAAAGAAAAACAAAAGGAAACTCTAAGGTCTTGGGTGGCGTTTTTAGCGATTCGGGGCGCACTTCTGTGTGTACGTGGTATTCGAGTTCGTGTTTCCCTAACCTGTGACGTTTCTTGCATTCCCCGCAGTGGACACGGAGCGCTGTCACCCAACGAAGCCCTTCCGGTGTCCGTCGTCTGCCACGGTGTGCATCTCCATCCAGTACCTGTGCGACGGCGCACCGGACTGTCCCGATGGCTACGACGAGGACCCCAGACTCTGCACTGCAGGTCAGTCGGGGACCGCCAGAGGGACTCAACATTGCTGGGCTGGTGCAATATGGGCAGTACCACCTAAAAGACGAGGCCTGCCCCCCCCCCCCCCCCGACCCTTTCCGCCTTGTTCAGTCGTTTATTGGCTGTTTAGGCAGTCATTGAGGATCACCACTTGTCAAATGACCTGAGATGACTTTAAGAACACGCACGGCACGCGCCTCGTTTGTATGCGTTTCGGCGCCGGTCAGGAGGGAGGCAGAGGAAAAATGTTGGGAGCGGTCAGGAAAAGTCGGCACTTGCCTGACCAAGGGACGTCGCCAGAGCAGAAAGGCACATCCAACAACCAACGTCGAGGCGCCCTAGCAACTGCACTTTCGTTCTTTTTTTCTACTTTTCTTTTTTTTTGCCATTGGCTACCCCCGCCTTAGTGCTGTCGATCAAGACGCAAAAGAGGTAGAAATAGCTGAAAGGAACCGGGTGTTCAGATGTTGGCAAAATGCAAGTACGGCTCCTGAGCGCCGCCATTTTGTTTCTGGCGCGCGTTGTTTGTCTGCTAGCGAGACATGTCCACGGTTGCCAGGCTGGTACCCCGACGAAATGTTTTCCTCCTTCGGTGGCGCTAGACTAGGTTTTCAAGCGGGGCTGCTCGCCAACGTGTATTGCCCTACACCATAGGATGACCAGGAGGCACCTCGGTCGACCGCTAGTCCGGACGCCTGGTGCCAAAAAATGGCGAATTCGGAAAGGCTTAGTCATTGACCGATTGGACACGAGCACTGCGTTACAGTTTCGAGAGGGGCTCAGACATTCGAGCTCGAAATCAGGTCCAATGATTGCGGCCGCCGGCCGTCTCGAAGTTGCGAAATTTTTTAATAAGATGGCGCCACCTGTTAAAACACGCTTTATAACCTAATGGGTATAGAAACAAAACAAAAAAACATGGGATTTAAAGCGTCAAAAAACACGAATGCAAGAAGACATTGGACCCTTTGTTTGTCGCCTTTCTAACTTTTTGTGTTTATTTTTTTAATTTTGAGGAATGTATGACTTAGTCCGCCTATACGTATATCTTACTTCTTGTAAGCATAGGAACGATACTTCACGAAAATGGACTTTTGGCGACAACTGGAGCCACTGAGGTTGTAGGTATCGCAACTCCAACTTTGCGGCTTTAGTCACGTTTCCTCTGTTTTACATTTCCGCCGCAAGGACACGCCAGTTTTCGCTTCACACTTGGATAGGCGATAGGCGAATAAGAATGCTACAGACTTTCGCTTAACAGACTTCAAGCTTTTCTCACTCTCTCTTTCTTTCTTTCATTTTATGTTAAGAAAATAGAGATACTTATATGACCATATTCGTAGATGTTGCTGCTATTACACACTTTGTGCACCGCTTGTTTAAAACACATATCGGAAGTAGACCGGTCTCCGCTTATATTTAGCATCGCGCGACATTTTTGTGAACAAATGCAGGCCGGCACAGGTAGATTGAAAGAGCCCATACTCTCTATGAACATGATCCTCATGCTGCTTATATGATTTCGACAGTTGTTGCATCATGATTTCGGCTACTCCACGACAGTTGATGCATTATTTATGAAGCTGACAACAAAGGCCGGATTCCCTGGGGAATATGCTGCGACAAATCGACGAATTTTGTCCGGCGGCATTGGTTCGCCAATGACGCCGACATTAACACAGCGGCTGCTACGTCGCGCGTAAAACGAGCGTGCCGTTGGGCGACGTTTGTCAGTGATTCGTCGCATATTTCGCTCCATGGAGTTCAGCCTGCTGTACAGCGCATACACATACTAAAAACACAATTTGGCTTTCGCTTTTTTTTTTTTTTAAGAATGCAGCGTTTATGTTTTGAATTCTGTTCAATTTTCTTCTTTTTCTTCTTTTTTATGGAGTGAATCTAGCTATTTTCATTTTTATCTCCTTCTAGTATTTTCGTCTTCCTTCAATTCCTTGGTGACCAAAGTGGTTTTCGTAGTGCGATGAGCATCATATAAACGGGTCGTTGCTCGTTGAAAGAACTGTGTCTGTCCCTCGTCCATTTCAGTGTTTTTTTATTCTTTGTGTGAACTATAGTTTATCCAACGCGCTCTGCTGCGTGTACCTAACTACAGATCCGTTGCACTCTACGCTTAAAATATGTCGAATTCATTAAGAGCTAGGCCCAATGGTAGTTTCGATTGAGCATGACTGCAGCTATATATCTCAAGCTCCGATTGATCTCTCCGTATCCTGGAGGTACGGTGAAAGTTGATTGCAGAACAGTACAAGTACTTTCTTTGACGCTAGAAACTGAAGATAAACGACACTGTAAACGTGTGAAAAGTCCTGATTCTCCAAGTATTAAGCCTAATGTTCGTTCCGATTAAGCTTCACATGGCAGTACATGTCCATTTCCGACTGGCTGTGAGAATTCGGGAGAAACACTGTGAGTTGCTTGTAGAAGGGTACAAGTACCCCGGTTGCCAGCGTCTAAGATAAACTGCACTGTAAACGCAAGAGAAGACCTCATTCTCCACAAACTAGAAGAACTATTGTCGTTTGCACCTCAGGAACCAAAGTTAAAAAGTTCGGCGCCTCGCGGATCATTACTAATTTTTCCCTTCATGTGCATAATTAAGAGATATGTATGTGAATGTTAGATTATATATACGTTATCGTATCAAGACCTACACGTTTCAAACGCCGAAACCATCGCTTTTTTCTCCGACAACCAAATCTCGTAAGAACTACTTCACGACGCGTATGAACAATGCGCTAAACTTGCGTTTTCCTTGAGGTGAAAACAGGTATAGGCCCAACGCGCGTTTCAATCAACCGTAACCATGGCTGTACTAACATGTCAAGCTCCGATTGCCCATCGGAATACGGGAGACACATAGAAGGGTATCTAAATGAGGTGTCCTTGTTAGATTCCGTCAGGATGGCTCTTAGAAACCCGAGAACTCATTGTCTGCGTGGAGGTGCAGCGATCTCAGGGCAAGAAGCATCGTTAGGAACCAAGTACGTCGTGCTTATTCGGGACACCCGTGCTTTTGTGCAGCGGCTCGTTAATCTTCCTACAGGAAAGAAAGATAGCACCTCCGCGTGTCCGTTCCCCTTTCTGGCGTGGACAGCGCGACAGCAGCCGTGGACCGTTTTTCTAATGAGCCCTCGGGGCACAATCTCGCCCGTGCCCGTACGAACCGAGATTGGAAATCCTTCTTCCCCCTTCCCTCGTTCCTGGTTAATCCGCCGAGTGTCTCGCACTGCGGGAGCTGCGGCGGTATCCCCCGTTTTTTCTCGGGGATTACAGTAATCCCTACGGGGTTTTAGAAAAAGAGTGTTGAAAAAGGCAAGGGGAAGAAGGAGGAGGGGGAGGGGGGGGGGGGTTGCAGAGTGCGTCTGAAACGACCTGTATAAAGCCCTACGCCCTGAATTATCGATCTTTGATTTCATCTCTGAAATCTCTTTGAGGTGATGTTTGTTTTGGTTTGAAATATTTGGACACTGCAAGGTCGTATGAACTGTGGACGGAAATGATGACTTAAGCTGTCAGAGTGTGAGACAAAAAAGAAAAAAGAAGCATATACACAGGGTCTTGAGATGTAAACACAAAAAAAAAAAAAGGATGGCCGTACCTCCATAGGGAGTATGCTGCTTCCGGTTGGCCATTGTTTTTGCTTATTTTTTAGGTTGCGCAGTGAGTAGCGCGAGCTTTAGAAATGGATCCACCGAAGGACAACTGCGGTACCTCCTGATATGTACTTATATGGCATCGACGCACCTTCCTGATTCCTTTGATGAAAAGAAAGAGCAATTGTTCCTCAGACAAATGACAGACCTGCCGAAGGCATCGTGGGCACATCTTTACGATTACTTCTTCGAGCTCCAGTGCCCACGTACCTAGCTGAGAACGACTTAAAACCTACAAGTCCTTAGACGCGTTCAACTACTTCGCGAACGGCAGGCCTAGGCGCCGGAGAGACGTGCCACGCATCACCGCAGGGTTCGCCGAGTGGGTCTTGGTTTTAGCAGACGATGTTCCGAAAGTTTTTATTAGTCGTCCCTCAGCGCAACGCAAGTCTCTGTAGTACACAATTTTCTGCGTTGACTTGCTTGCTTTGGTATTCAATGTTTCTTTGCCAGAGCACCGTGTCATCTTGTGTTTATACGTGCCGTAATGGCCTATAGTTGGGTGCCAACTAGGCCATTGCGGAGATAATAATAATGATAATGATAAATATTTTTTTCCATCGATTGTAATGGCCGGTCGAGGCACCCCACCCTGGGCAATCCTCGCGTTTGTCGCGTTGCGCCATCTGTCGGCAGCACATCGATGTAGGCTACATCAAAGTAGGTTAGCACATCGAAGTAGGTCTGCTAATGCCGCCGTCCTGCGATCACCAAGGCTCGGCGACGTCAATGGCGTCCCTCATCTCGAGATAATCGAAAGAACATCACAAGTGACATTTGGTTGGTGCAGGTGTGCATCGGTCAATCGAAAGGATGACACAGGGGAATTTCTAGAGCATAACTGTCACGCGATTACTCGCTAGTGAACCAATTATCGTCGCGCACCCACCCAAACATGAGATGAAGATAGGACACCCGGAAGTCTTCATCTCTCTCTGTCATGGCGGCCGGAAGTGGCGCAAATACCCTGTATAGTTTGACTTGTTTTGTTTTCTTTCCTAAGTCTACAACGTCGTCGCTGGTAGTTGACGTTTTCTCAGGTGTCCGGGTTCGAGTCCTAGCCGAGATGACCAAAGTTTAAAGGGACACTAACACCTCACCTTCCCCCCTTCCCCCCGCCCCCAAGGAATGTTTTTTGTTGGGCGATTTATTATAATGTTAGAAGACTACCCAATCAAAATTTTGCTACAGCGTCATGTATATTTTTGATAAAGTCAAAAAAGCAAATGCTCGAAACCGAAATCGAAACTTGTTTGGGCAGAAAAAATATATATAGAGGAGGAGAAAAATACGAAAAATCACGTGGCTGTCCAACTTTTT